AAAAATCTACACTTCAAGAAATGCCTCTGACAGGCTAGGACCACATTAACTCACACCACTATTACTTATCTCTTCTTCTAGAAAAATATCAAAATATTTAATTTTTTCATTATTCACTACCTTCACCATGCACTGCAGGAGACCTCCTAAATTTTCTCTGAGCTGAATTCTGCAAGAAGCAGAGAGCAGAGGGTGCCACTGAACTAGGCCAGCAGTGGGCGGGGCCTGGGAGATGTTGACGGGGCAACACACAATCTCAGTTGGATGGGCAACAACTTGTTAGGAGGACCATTCCACATCCGCTCAATTTTCTAGAGGCAAAGAATCCACCCACCGCTCAGCCTAAGAAAGCCAGGTGGGAACCAAATCCAGAAATAAATGCCACCGTGTTTATACAGAGAGCAACCTTTAACTTCACATAAGGGGCGATGACGTGGAGCCCGTTGCTGATATTTCCAGGAAGGCAATCAGTATCTTTGGGGAAATAAGTGTGTTCAAAATGAAAATTGCCTCCTGGAATGAATCAGGAGGTGGTCATCCCTGGCTGTTGACACAGCAGAGCACAGTGTCCAATCAGCAAGAGCTGGGAGAGGCGTGGAGCGGACAGCCTTAGCGTAGGAGTCCCTGAAGTCAGCGCCATCTCCAGAACTCAGCTCTTCCCTGTGTGGGTCCTCAGCTCATATCTGCAGGACCTGTGCTCTTTTCCAGGGCTCAGGTTCATCTCCTAGCCTCATCCCTGGATACTAATCTGAGATCACCAGTTCTGCAGAACTCCTATGTGCCACTTGGCATACTGTGGGGAGAAGCCAGGAGCACACGTGTAACCAGTGCCCCTTCTGCTGCATGTACAAGAGGTTAGGTCTAGATGTTTCACCCGAGTATGACCTGGCAAATCCCACGGTCACAGCTTTGTGTAACAAAATGGGGTTCCTGGGTCAGGTATGAAACAGCCACCATTCCAATAGTTTCCTAAACCCACATCTTGAATGTCATCTCATAAATGGGTGCAGACAAGGCCCATGACATGTGAGTATGTAGCTGGTAGTGTCTTGGAAGAGGGACCCTGGCTCTGGGGAACTCTGACTTGTATAATGGGCAGTAACTGACCACAAGTTTTGGAGTTCTCTGGCATCTTGGTAGAGCCCAGCAGATATGACACACTGATCTGTGTTCCTCCATCCAAGCACTCTAGGTAATGTCCCCTAAACAGATAACTGCCAATCAGCCAGTGGCTACCACATCCTGTTGCTTCCTGTCTGGGTCACTCAATCTGTCCAGTCTGTGCACTTGACCGTGTGTGTGTGTGTGTGTGTGTGTGTGTGTGTGTGTGTGTGTCTGTGTCTGTGTCTGTGTCTGTGTCTGTGTGTCTGTGTCTGTTCTCAAGTCAAACACATGCAAACCAATATTTCTTCTATACAAATAGCTACACATTTGTAAGAATAACATCGGGCCATCCATATTCTTTTTCATCATGGGCTTTTTAATATGTGATTTTATTTTTAACCATGTTTATTTAAGTGTGTATGTGCTCCAAGATGCTAGAAGAGGGTGTTGAATCCCCTGGAGCTGGAGTTATGGATGGTTGGAAGCCTTCATGTGGATGATGGGAATCAAACTCTGGTCCTCTGTAAGAGTAGCCAGTTCCCTTAACAGCTGAGCCATCTCTCCAGCCCCCATGAACTCTTTAGAATTATTTTTAATTGTTTAGAATTATTTTAATTAGCATAAAAAGTAATGGGCTTCCTTACATATTTTTCATACATTATATTTTTATATGTATGGTGGCATTCATGTGTTGTTATACCCGTTCTTATCCAACTCCTCCCCCACTCTCCTCCCATCCCCCGCCTCCTTTCTGCCTCCCCGTCACACAGATTTCAGCATCTTCTATTGTTCTCCCATTAGATCTCTTCCTCCCTCTTAGTCCCCTTTTTATGTTCATGTGCTTCCACATGCACACACACATAATCTATTCATAGACATGCACACACATGCACACACATATAATCTATTCCTAGACATACATGCACACACATATAAGCTATTCACAGACATGCACACACATGTACACACATATAATCTATTCCTAGACATACATGCACACACACACACACAATCTATTCACAGACATGCATACACGTAATCTATTCACAGACATGCATATATACACATAATCCATTCACTCACACACAGTATATTCACAGACACATACACACATAAATCCACACACGCACAAATAATCTATTCACAGACGTACACACATACACCATCCATGTACCCATATAATCTAATCACAGACATATACGTGCACACACATACAGCATATACACACTCTCTCAAGCCAATTTCTCTGGGCCCCAGATAATCTGTGTGGCATTATCCCAGGTTCTTTTTGTGGCTTCCTTCACATGTACATGACCTTAAACACACGCACACACTTACACATAAATATGTGTAAATATACTCAATGTACACAGGGCCTTCAGCCATGGTTTATTTTGTAGGAACAGCGATTCCTTACAGTCATCTCTCCTGATGCCTGGCCGCCGTGCACTGTGAATCCCTCCACTGGAGGTGTTGGGAAGTGAAAGTGAGCCAGCAGGCAGGGTAGAAGGGTTCCCAGGGCCGAGGGATCTGTCTGCTCTCTGCCCCATACGCAGCCTCATCGGCGCCTCAGTTTCTGCCCATGAGGACCTCAGATGTTCCTATCTACCTTGAAGTGCCTTCAGGAGATGAAGCATCAGGGCACTGGAGAAAGGCAGTGAGAAGCTAGCCAACAGACACTCACAACAAGGGTTGAGGAAGAACATGGACTCCGCGTCTGTACGGTCACTGTCTCCGTGGCATCACAAAGTACCGAGCCTCCTCCTACCTCTGAAACAAAGCTGTCTCACAGCCGGCGACACGGCGTGGAGCGTGTGCCGGCAGTTGTTTTATTTGATCCTTGAATCGTACGAGGTTGACAGTGCACAGCTGGTGTCTCCATAAGTCACAGGCTAATTCATTCAGTGAAGATTGATGGCTGTCCTGAGACAAGAGGGAACAGGAAATAAAACAGTTGAGTCCCCGCCCTCACAGAGCCTGGCTACTGACGGAGGAGACCAATATCATTCATTAGAGGGGGAAGTGGGCTGTCCAGGTGTGGTGCTAAACAGTACTGGGGTGGGGTCACTTGGAACAAGGAGACCTCCCGGGACGGGACAGTTGAGCCTTTTAAAAGGGGCATATGTAACACTGAGCACCGGCTTGCACAGGGCTGTCTGTACCTGCTCTGGGATGCCCATGATGACCTCCCAAAGGATGCCACCTCAGTCTATTGCCTAGCATGTCCTTTCCCGGGTGCTCCTATGCCCACAGACTGCTAGGCGCCAGCAGTGATGGGCTGATGATTCAGTATTACAGGAGGAATTTGTGGGATTTTTTTCAATGTGGCCTGTCATGACCTCCAGGCATAAACTCAATGAGAAAGTCACAGGGACCAAGCTGCAAATACGGGGGCATGGATGATAGCTCGATCCCTGTGAAGCCAGATGCCAGATCCCTGCTCAGGCTCCAGGACACAGGAGCGAGTCCCTCGGGTTTGTTTGTCCAGGGGTGCCTTGGTTGTCCAGCAAGCTTTGGTTTGTCCCAGGGTTCCTGTTGATAACAAACTTTTCTGAACTTATTACTATTCCATAGGCTACAAGTCCTCAGGAGAGCAAAAGGCTTTAGTAACAACTCTGGGTGTTTCTGTACTCACCGGTTTGTGCTGGTTTTGGCGGGGGGTGTAGGGGGGTGTGGGGGGGTTGGGCAAAATCCACCAAGCAGTAAGAAGGCAAACTTCTTCCCACAGAGGAAAACATACTTCCTGACTAGATTGGTATTAGTTTTGTTTCTCATTGCTGTGTCCTGATATCTATCAGATGCAATTTAAGGAGGCAAAGGTTGGTTTGGCTCATAGTTTCAGGGAATAGACTCCACTATGGTAAGAGCGGAGGTGGCCAACACTTTCAAAGCCAGCCCCCAGTGTCCCATTTTCTACAGCCACCTCCTAAAGGCTCTACAGCCTTCTACAACAGCGCCACCTGCTGGGGACCAAGTGTTCAGATGCATGAGCCTGTGGGGGACACATTAAAACCATGACCCATGTGTGCTCCTTGTAGCCCAGGCTCTTTGTCTCCAAAAGCCAAGTGGTGGCTCATGCATGTAATCCCAGCACTTAAAAGAATAAGTCAAGAGAATTGCCACAACTCCAAGGCCAGCAAAGACTACATTGTGAGTTCTAGTCTGGCCTGGGCTGCCCAGTGAAAGAAACCCTCTCTCAACCAAAACAAAGCAAAGTGGAGGGGAAAAAAAGGCAAAATAACCATCTAGTTCCATGAGGAGGGCAAGTCAGAATGCAAAGCAGTTCCCAGAATCTGGAGGCCCGGCACCCTGGGCCAGCAGGTGACCAGTGGTGACGCTCAGCCTCGACCCTTGCTGAGCCTGGGCTCCTCACTGGAAAGCACAAGAAGCTGCTTCTCTGTTGGGTTCACCCAACTCTAGAATTCCTACCATGTAGGTTCAAAATGTGGCTAAGCCTCCTCTGCTCTTTATGGAGCCTCCAATGTTGTTTTTTTTTTTTTAATTATTATTTTGATGTGCCATGATGTGTGTGGAGGTCAGTGAACAGCGTCATGGGTCAGTTCTGCCCTCTACCTTTATGTGGGTTCAAGGGATTGAACTCGTCAGCCAGGCTTCTGTGGTAGGCACCTTTCCCTACTGAGCCATCTCACTGTCCCGCACACCCTTTGTTTCCTCTGTGTCTTGGGGATGTTGCTCTTCCCTCCTGGTACCTCTGTGAGTCTTGACAAAGCTTCAGGGATAAAGCATCACTACTGCTCGGTGGCCATGGATCTGTGGCTCTACCAGATGCCATCTCTCCCCAGAGCATACCTGGCAATATCTGAGACAGTTGGGTTGTTATACGTAGGACTGGGGACCACTGACATCTAGGGATGCAAAGGATGTTCCTCAATATCCTCCAAGACACATCTGACAGCGGTGCTGAGATTAAAGTGGATGCCCAGAGTTGGGCAGACACCCATGTTCTGTGGGGTGTTACACGTAGCCTGAAAGTGCCCAATGTGGTTGGTGGCTTAGTGTGGAAGCTGAGTTAGACAGAGACCCTACCCACCCCTTTTCTCTGTCACTTACCTTCTGAGTGACTGCAGGGAATCCAGCCACGCCGAGTCTCCGTATCCAGGTCTCATCCACAGAGCTCCCAAGACCCACGTGGCATAGACAAGCCTCCAGTGTTAAAAGGGATATCTGTGGGGTGGGGCATTAGAGATGGATAGATTAATAAAGTGCTTGACTTGAAAGCATAGGTACCTAATTACAACTCAGTTTCACAGCTGACATTTAGGGTGCACCCAACCTTTGGCATGAGGGGCTGTCACTGAGCCCTGCAGAGGATGGACATGCAACCCTGGCCCCTCCCACAGTGTCTGAGAGCTGCAGTGTCCCTGCTAATCATGACCAGCATGATTTCCAGAAGGGGCTAGCCGCTGGGACAGAGAAGAAAAAGAGAACTTAGAAGCAGCTGTGGCAATGGTTGTGCCCATCAGTTAAGGGCTTTTTACAGAGTTTAGAAGGGATCTAGGACTCAAAAAAAATTAATGGTTGTCCTGGGGTACAAACTGAAGATCTAGGTTTATGTTTAAGTCACAGTGGTCTCTTCCTTAACTAATGGCATATGCAAAGACCCCATGTCCAATGGCCATCACCATGTTCTGGAATGAAGTGGATTCTGAGCAGGCTTTAAAGCCCACTAACCTCTCAACACACTGTAGCTCTGGCAGACATTGTCTCCTCCCGCTAGTCTCCTCCAGCCCTGCCCATATCTTCGCTGAATTCCTTCCTTCAGCTCACACTGTATTTTCCTGACCATCTGTCCCCTGCCTGAGCTCAGAAAGGCGCAGCCTGTCCAAGCAGACTGGCCTGGGGTGGACCAAATGGACGAGGGCCAGAGCAGCCTTAGGAAGGGTTCCGGCATGCTGCTGGCCTGGCTGAAGTCCACGTCACACTTGCCAGTCAGCGGCTTCTCTCTGTGCCTGCCTTTCTCTGCCACCTCAACCATGGAAATGACACAGAGAGCCATGTGGCAGGAAAGGCCAGCTGGGGCAAGGCCACAGTCTCATGTTAGAGTCTGTTAACGTGCCAGGCTGGAGCGGCCTGGGTGAGCTCTGAACTTACAGCTATAAATGGAATCCATCCTCTCCGCTGTGGGCAAGCCGCCTTCCTCAGCAGGCCTCGGGGTTCTCATCTGCAAAATAGGATGCTGCTGGTGTGCCAGGCTCCCGTGAGGTTTCTGCAACAGTGGTGGAGGTGTATATTTGCAAGTGGGAAATGAGATCTGGTTGCATGGGAGCCGTTGGCATTCTATATGTACAGACCCGGCTCCTGAGTTCAGGGATATCCAGAAGGCAATTTTGATTTCCCTGTGCCTGAATTCCACCCATACACAGTGGTGAGCCACTGAAATAGAACGGAATGAGGCCAGGAGTCTGATTATTGGATTTGCTGCACTTGAAATGTGCATTATGTAATCTTATTTTGACAGGGAGGCTGAACAGGGCTAAGGTTTGCAAGGTTGCCTCCAGCAGAGACATGGAAGGAAACAGTTGGATGTTCGAAGATAGGCTGTTATTGGCAGTGGCATTTAAAGCGTTGTAATTAGTATCTTTTTTTTTTTTTTTTTTTTTGGTTTTTCGAGACAGGGTTTCTCTGTGTAGCTTTGCGCCTTTCCTGGAGCTCACTTGGTAGCCCAGGCTGGCCTCGAACTCACAGAGATCCACCTGGCTCTGCCTCCCGAGTGCTGGGATTAAAGGCGTGCGCCACCAACGCCCGGCGTAATTAGTATCTTTAACAGTGACAGACCCAATAGGGATAGAAGAGGCGTAGCTGATATCATTGGAAGGAGTGCTTCTCAGGGTGGCCCCAGGCTAGCTTCGCACAAGACTCTGTGAGATAGGCCAGCATGGCCCCACCACAGTCCTCAAAAGTCAGAAGCTGTGATGGGTTCCACAAACCCTGGAAGTCCCTCCTGGCTAGATGAGAATTCCCTAAACACTGATTGGCAGTGGGGACTTAGGCTTTCTCTATGGAAACTGACCCCCAGGGTCTCCCCCAGAAGGCAGGTAGTGTCCTCTGAAAATACCAATGCCTGAGGGACATCAAAATAAGACAATCGGCTATGTACTCCGCAACCTAGCCTCTCCCTCCAAGTCTTCAGGGACAGGTGCCCTAATGTTGGTCCAATTGCCCACCGAGCATTCAGTTCACGTGCGTAGCCCACTGACAGAGATGAAAAGATGCCGAGAAACACAGCCAATGGGCTGGAAACATTCCTGCAGGCATCAGTTTCTTTTTGTAAGAGAACCTGTTCATTTTGCGTGGTCCCCTGGTCCCCACTGCCAGCCACTTAGGACATGATTAATTCATCTGGAGACTTCCCCAGACATTGGTGACACCATCAGGAGCAGCAGGGACGATGGCTCTATCGTGTGTAGCCCCTTTGTACCTTTGGTGTTCCTCCTAATCATTTATATATTCTGGAGAGGCAAGGTTCCCACCCACCCGAGCGCAGAAAGGTAATAAATGAGGAAAGTCAATGGTCTGTAAATTACAACATTGATTAAAGATGTGATTAGTGATAGACTCTATGCTTGGCTATTATGCTAATATGTTCCCCGATCCGGGACAGCATTTACATGCTAATGATAAGTCTGGGACAATGGCTGAAATCGCTTCCCATCCTCACACAGTGTGGAAACTGTTTTAAACCGCTCTTGACCGGTGAGTAAAAAGACCCCTTCCTGTGGCCCCTCCCAACTGCTCCATGCCAGTCCCCAGCAGATGGAGAGAATTCTCTCTGCCCGACCCTCACCATCTGCCCTGCAAACAGAAGAGAGGAAAGTGGGGCCCAGAGTAGCCATACGTGGTCCTTCTGCAGAAAGGGCAGGGTGACTGGTCACAACAGCTATTGCTCAGCACAGGGTGTTATTTGGTCAGGTCCAGATACCCAGATGGGACTCTGCTCTTTCCAGAGGACACTGTCTAGTAGGAGACAGATATGCAAATGCCAAAGCTCAAAAAGTCAGAGCTTAGTGCAGTGCCACGTGGATGACATCATTAGCTCAGAAACGGTTGCCGAAGTGCATATGTGTGCAGTTTGCCAGTATAAATCATCTCTAAGCGGATTCTCATTGGAGTCGGTGGACCTAGAAAAATTAAGAATTGCTGGAAATTTTCAGATTAAATCTTAGGTATCTGCCGTGGTTGCTTCCATCACAGCTTAGGGTCTCGCTCTCTCTCCTCAATTGTTTTGGCTGTCTTGAAGCAGGTGTACCCATAAAGGGAAGATGTTTGTCCTCCCATCCGTCTACCTACCTGTCTACCTATCCTTCTGTTCATCCTTCCATCCACCTGTCCATTTATTTTTATCATTCTGTCCATCTATCTATCCATCATCTCATCTTCATTCTTCTGTCTTTTTCTATATCCCATCCCCACCCTTCCATCTATCCATCCATATACATTTCCATCTCCATGCTTCAATTGTCCAACCATCAAGCTGTTAATCCTTACATACATATAATCACTCCTCTGTTTACCCATCATTCCACCTGTACATCTACCTACCCATCCATCTATCCTTCCATCCACCCATCTACCCATCTATCCTCCCATCCATCCACCTAGATACCCATCTATCTTTCAATCCATCTGTCAGTCCACCTATCTATCTAACCAGGTATCCTTTCATCCATCCATCCTCCCATCTATCCTTCCTTCCATCTATCCCTACACTTATCCATTCATCATCCCATTTGTCCATCAACGTCCCCACGCACCTATCCATCCTTTTATCCACTCTCCCACCCATCCATCCACCCACCTATCCATTCTCTTTTATCCACTTATCCATCCATCTATTGACCCATCTATTCATCCACCCTTCTGTCTATCCACATGTTCATCTATCCCCCTAATCATGTCAACTCTGCCCTCACCTCAGGAGCAGCTGCTGTAAGGACCAAATGATGGGAAATGAGCATAATGCACTTTTTTTTCCATCAAGAATGTAAGAGTTTGAATGTTGACATAAACACATGGGGCCAGTTTAAAATCGTATCCCATGAGCTTGGCTGTGTAAGACGAGTCAAGTTTGCCTCTCTGTAACTCAACTTGATTTCTATTTTCACTTTGTTAGAATGGCACAGACAGAACCCTGGTCTGGTTTCCCGGGGATGTAGCTGTTACCTGGGCACTGGGGGAGGGGACAGCTGGTCTAATCTTATTGTGGTGCCAGAGACATCCATTATCAGTCATATGCACGAAGCCACTGACCTTAGCACTCACCATGCCTGCCCATGAGGATAGGTGTGTCTGCTGCCTCCTCACTTCACTGGGCTTCATTGTAGATGTGAAACTGAGTGTGGCTGGAGAGCGGGCATGAATGCATCATTGCCTTGGGAACACAAAGGCCAGGTTGCCCTCTTCATTTTCTCTGCCTATTTCTTTTCTTCTTTGGACCGTTCCCTTCTTGAGGACGCTTCTAAAGGCAGAAATAGAAGGAAAGGGGAGGAAAGGCAAAGGAAAGAGAGAAACAAGAACCCAGGGAGAAGGAAAAGGAAGGGAAAAGGCTAAGATCCAGGCAAAGGCAGAAAGTCACCTGTGACATCCCATCTCTCTCATGAGAACAGTGATAGTACAAGTGTAAAGATCCCAGAGGTCCTGCATGGAGCAGCATCCTAGGGACTCTTGACATGCTCGGGCCAGGCAAACTGGGGTGGAAGTATGTCCCTTGACAAAGGACTGAGAACCATAGATGACCAATGGGGCTGTGTGAGTGGGAGCAGAGACTGTGTGGTGAGGGGTGGGCTGCCAGGCCCCTTGGCATTCTTGGAGGCCATTTGGGGGGTGGAGCTCTTACCTTCTGGGCAGACATCAGCCTGCATCATGCTCCTGGTGGCCACCACAGGCCCTGTGCACACCTGGGTTTCAACCTCAGTTCTCTGCAGATTCAAGTTCCACTTGGAGCTTAAAAGTCCTTATCTCAATTTGTCCTCTGCTTTCTATCCCAGCAAAGGCAACCTCAGCCTGGGAGCTGGGAGCTGGAAACTATTGCGCCTCTTGCCCATGAGGTGGACAATTCTGAGTGGTATCATGAGGCACCCAGCAGTAGCAGGTGCACCTTTCTACTGGCATCTCTCTTCTCCTGCCTGCCCTGGTCTCCTTCTTCCCTCTTGTTCCCTAGGTTCAGTTCCCCATTACGCCCATGACAGGACACCCTTGTTGCAGGCTCTGCCCTGGAAGAGGGTGCTTTGCAATAAAGCAAGAGGCAGCACATCTGTATAATGCTCACCAAGAAAGAATGAGGACCCAAGTTTAGATTCCCCACACCCATAGAAAAAAACTGGGTATGGTGGCACATGCCTATAATCCCAGCACTGAAGGGGCAGACACAAGAGAGCCAAGAGGCTTGTTGGCCAGCCAGCCTAGCAGAATCAATAAGCCCTGCTTCAATGGGAGACTCTGAATCTGGAAGTTAACATGGAGAGTGATACTGGAGATACCCAGCATTGACTTTTGGCTTTTATGGGTGTGTGCTCACATGCTCTGTGTGCCTACACACATGCACATACATATGCATACATTCAGCACACATACACGAGCTAATAGAACAAACTGAATGTTGGTTGCCAGCATGGCCACGTGACCTCCATTTCCTCTCTCACTGTGTCTTCCCAGGTGTCAGACCACTGCGACTACGTCTTTGTCAATGGCAAAGAAATCAAAGGCAAGGTGGACTCCGTGGTGAATTTCACCTACCAGCACCTGAGCTCACCCCTGCATGTCACCGTGTGGGTGCCACGGCTTCCCCTGCAGATCGAGGTCTCTGACACAGAACTCAGCCAGGTTAAGGGCTGGCGGGTCCCCATCGTGGCCAGCAAGAGGTGAGCCAGGGCTGGGAAGACGCCTCCAGCGTCTGGATTCACAAATCGCATTGAAGGGACCAGGGCAGGACCCAGGATGTAATAGAAGCTGGTGTTCCTACAGCCCGGATCTCCCTAACCCTGACAGCATACTCTTTGGAGGTCACGGCCCCAGGTCCCCTGGCTAGGCCCTCACATTGCTGAGGGGCAGGTCTCGAGCCATATCATGCTCACGGTACACGGAAGCTTGTACCCATTGCACAACAGCAACCTGCCGTCTCCTCCAGCCCCTCAGCACCCAGCACCTGGGGATGGCTTCAGTTTCTCCAAGTTAAATGGAGGCTTGACTTTCATCTTCCATGGTGATAGCATCTCATGGGAGAGTGGGTTGATGTTCACCCTGGAGCAGGGGCTTCCCATTGCAGAAAGCCACAGACGATTCTCCTGTGTGACCCCGGGGTTTGGGTCACGGTTTTCCCTGAATGAGCACATCTCAGCTGAGTGAGGGCTGCTGCCGAAGCCCAGTCTCCCATTTGCACTTCTCCCTCACAGACCATCAGGTGGCTCCCAGACAGCCCCCCAGGATCCCTTCATTTTGAAGGACGAGTTAGCGTACTTCAGAAAGAGTAACTGGTATCCTAGGGAGATGATGATTCAGGAAAGTGCTTACCTTGCGAACAGAACCCGCACTAAACTTACATTTTAAAA